TGCCTAGAAATATATCTACTATAGAACGATGTTAAACATTTTATAGGTTATACTACATATTTTTCGAAAAATTTATAGAAAATATTTAAAAATACAAATTTTAAAAATAAATCAAAAAATGGGAGAATTACATTTGGATTAAGCCTAAATTTCAAATTCTGGAAGAAGGAATCAAATAAGTTTAATATAAAAAAGAGATATTAATAAATATATATCAAATTCAATTACCATTGAAGAGCTAAAATTTTGAGAGCTAATTTTTTAAAAACTACTCGTGCGATTTTTGCAAAACTTAGCAATTTGGCATAATTTGAGTCACAGAATTAAAATGTGGGAAAATTTGATATGTTATTTCAGAAAAAGTCCGATTTCATGTCAAAATAACTACATTAGAACTACTATTATATATAGCATTAGATATAATAGTAGTTCTAATGTAGTTATTTTAGCATTAGATATAATGCTAAATATACATCTAATATATAGCCTAAGTCGCTTTTTCGAGGCATGAAAAATGCAGTTTGAAACTGTCCCCCCCTTTTTTTAAACACATTTTACTTTTCTTACAATTTATAAAACCTTTGCTGTGATTAATTAGATATTCTTATAAAATCTATGCAAGATATTTAATATAGACAGATAATTTCATTTGAAAACTACCAAATGCAAAATGAACGGTAGAAAGACATTACACCTACCAACAGTTTGATAATAAGATAATTGTGGCATATCATAGCAAAAAAGCAAGACGTTCATATAAGACAAAAGCATTCAGATGTAACTGCTAAAATGTATTCCAGATTCTCTTCCAGAACATTAATCGTGATATTCTTTGCTTCATCACAATCAAACACCAGATCGTAATCAAACATCAGACAGCATGCAACTTTTATCGTTGCATTTTTTATTTCATCTAAGACAAATCTTTCACACAGAAATGCAAATGGGCTAGTTCTATATCTCCCGTTCTTCTGGGCAGATTTATGAAATTTAACATGTGTTTTTCATGTCTCGAAAACACAACTTAGGATACATATTAGATTTATATAAAGTATTGTTCTAAATACATATTTTGACATAAAATCGGACTTTTCTAGAATAACATATTTTTCCCCCATATTTCGAGTCTACGACTCAAATTATGCCTAAATATTAAATTTTATAAAATTTGGGGAGAAAATGAGAAATTTAAAAATTTATCTTCACGCACTTTTTCAGTTTCTTATAAGAATAATTCCCTTGGAGAAATTCTTAATTTATGGTAACCAATTTTCCTTTCCCTTTCATTGTGCATGAGCGGAAATAAAAGGTGCATCACTCATCAAAGTGCGTAAAACATATTTGGCGTTATTATCATTTATAACAAATATGATGAATTTGAAAATGCACCAATACATAAATTCTCGTATATCTTTGGAAATTTTGAATACAAAATTTTAATTTTTTGGAGGCATCCTAAAAATACACCTACTTGAAGAAGATGGCAAAAATTTTACAGGTTATAATACAAAAATTTTGCCAAATGATTTATAAAAATTACTAAAAAAATAACAAATTTTAAAAACAAAGAAAATAGCTGCAAATTTTATTTGGATTAAACTTAAATTTCAAATTATGAAAGGAGGAATCAAGCAAGTTTAATACAAAAAGATATTAATAAATATATACTAAATTCAATTAAAAATTTTGAGAGCTAATTTTCCAAAAACTACTCGTGCATTTTTTTACAAAACTTGGCACTTTGGCACAATTTAAGTCATAGAATCGAAATATAGACAAAAAAATAGGTATCTCATTTCAGGAAAACTCCAATTTTGTGTCAAAATACATATGTTATAACAATGCTATAAATAAATCTAATATATATATTAAGTCGCACTTTCCAGACATGAAAAACGCAAGCTAAATTTCATCAATCAACCTAGTAGAATGGGAAATATAGAAATATCCCCCCTATTTTTTTTGGTGCAAGGGTATATGTATTTATAATTTCTTTGCATTTATGAACATCACATTCAAAGCAAGAAAGGTGGCTTTAACATGTGATAATGTGCTATATCACAGCTGCCAACCTTGAAATATGAAAAACTGGGAGGTTCACATTACCATTACTAGGAGTTTCCAGCAGATTTTTCTGCTATCATGCAACACCATTTTAAAAGCATCCACACTGATTGAAATGCATGCATGATTCATATTATTGAACTATTTCTGATTCTGGCATAAAAATACATTCATTACATATTCTAAATTTTAAGTTCTTTGGCTAATTTCATTTTGCAGTTTTCTTAAAAACCTTCATGCTGAGAAAACTCTGAGCATGGAAAGAAAGCTTCAATTTATCAAAGTACTTTTAAATGCTAAAAATAAAATTAATAATTAATGTACATAATATTGTATGGATAAACTCAGTGATTATCATACATTTGTAAGATACTTTTTTCTGCTTATCACATACCATCATAGTGTAATAGGAAACACATTCAGTTGGCAATCAGAAGATGTAGGGTTTTAATTCCAGCTAGGGCACTGCACATTTATAGAAATCTCCTGTCTCAAAAAAAAAAAAAAAAAAAAAAAAAAAAAAAAAAAAAAAAAAAAAAAAAACCTCAGTGGACAATACTTTGTCATCACAGCACACAAAGAGGTTAGTAAATCTGACTAATGTACTGTAGGGCCCAGTTTCGAATCCCAGAGAAGGCACAGATGTAAATCACCACTCCCTTCATAAGATGCAATGGTGGCCCACTTGTTAGGTGCAAAAAGTGACCAGTGTTTTTGGCCTTAATAGTGGCCAACAACTAAAACGACTAGTGCCCGGTATTGGGGAAGACATTTTGGCAGCCAGGCCCAAAGCTCACCACTGCTTTAGTGGTGTAATTAGAGGAACATCTGTCCAGCAATCAAAAGGTCTGGAATTTGAATTCCACTGGATTGCATATTTTTAATGTTTCCTGTTCCAAAATGGACCCAATGACTTTATATATTGATTAAAATAGAATTAAATACAAATATTTACTAGTTAAACATTCCTTAAATCTTCATTTAAAGATCTGTAAATGTCTACAATAAATTAAGACAATCCAGATCAAATAAAATTTACAAAGATAAATGCTGAAGATCATTAGGTTTTAGGTTGCTTTGCTTTTAGATGATTATGTCAAAGCATATTAGTGTTATCTGCCTAATGGGAGGATTGCTTCATGGAGGACTTTCTAAAGAAAACTGGTTTGTATACACATTACACATGCAGAAAACGATGAAAATGCCCATGCAGACAGCTCATTTGATTGGAATCACCAAGTCGGAACTACCAGTGTTCAGCAATTTTACTGCATGGCCATTTGTACAATTTTATTGCTGAAAAACACTTTAGTAAAGGCTAAAAATTAAAACCAAGAGGTAGACCAAAAGATGTGTCAAAAAATAGGGACAACTTGCAGCTATGCAATATTAAACTGTGAAACTTTCCACAATTTTCAGTTAAGCAAGACTACACAGGTCCTTACCATCAAACATTCAAGATGCTACGGTATTTAACCCTTGACACTCCGTTACGGAGCTGTCCGTTTTCCGGATTTGTTCCATAACTCCGCAGGCTCCGCTTTGGAGCCCAATGTTTTTAGCATGATTAGGCTTAAAGATGTTACGGAATTGTCGCCGTTGGCAATTGTTATCTGTAGTTGAAACATACTCAGTCTCGCTACTGTTACGATTGAAACATTATTTGCCCCATTTTATGGTTAGCAACATGGAGAAAAATAATTATTGTGATGAGAATATAGAGTTGAGTGATAACGAAGATGTGTTTGATTTTTCACTGTTATAAGATATTGTGGAAGACAATGTTGATTATAATTCTGACACTTCAAGTAGTGGTTCCGAAATTATACTACCAAAGAGACGACGAATGGTAGCTATTGAAAGTGAAAGTGAAGAGTCGCCGGAAGACTTAGATCAATCGTGCGATGTCACAGAATAATTAGATATTCTGGATAGAAATTTTAGTAATTACAACCTTGTTCTGAAACATAGACAATAATATCTTTGAATATAAAGAACATGTGCCAGGATTCTATATACAACAGGTGTTTCATACTTCATCTTTCCATGCATATTTCAGCTTAACAGCAACTCGTCAAAATCAATAATTTTTCAATTGCAACAATTAATACAAAAGAAGATGTAAATCAGAATTACTCTTACAAACTTAATGTCTTGAAAAATGGGATCAAAAGTTTGACTTTGGGTCAATCCTCTTCCAGAATATGGCATAAATTTATTTCCATATAACGGATTATTTTAAACATTCTTTTCCAAGTTTTCACCTGCAATGCTTTTACTTGAGTCTGCATATCGCATACCATATAGTAATGGCAGAAAGAATTTCAAGTTGTGTGCATAATGAAGCACTTCTAAAATAACTGGAAGTAATTGGCTACTATATTAGAACATACAGTTACATTAATCAATATCAAACAGAAAAATGAATTTTGTGCTCAATCATGAAAAAACTTTTTTTAAGGGGAAAAAGGTTCCCCAAAACATTAAACTAATACAATGTATTATTTACTTTTTACTCAAACAGATTCTACACATTTAATTGCGTTACTCATTTTCAGTTTCTATAGTCCTCCTAAACATTTCTGGATGAATTTTCACCAACGGCAGAAAATAGCATTTGGCAGTTTTTTTAAAAGAGAAATTACTAAGGATCACAAAAATTACTGAGAAATTGGCAGCAATTAAAACTCTAACAAAGAATAACAGCACTTATATTCATACATACTTTTTGGGGGGGGAAATTATCTTCTACTCTTAAGTTAATTGGAGGGAAAGAAAGAATACTGCAATTTAAAACTCTTATTTTCATGCTCTTTATTTACTTCAGTAACTCAAAAACAAAGTTCATTAATTAAGCACTACTTTTAGACCTACAATTAAATAAGTATGAAAAATGAGAACAAGGTTAAAAAAAATAAGAAACTTATTTGTTTTACCTTAAAGCAGTTTCAGTAAATGGCAGTGGTCCACATATTAAAATACATAGAGCATTGTTAGGACGTTTCAGTGGTAACAACTTTTCAAGTATGTTTTTAGATATTTTACCATTGAGCCCTTTCCAGTGTTCAGTTGCATCAGATAAGATATGCATAATTTGAAAACTAAAAATAAAGGAATGAGTATCATAAATTACATTTGGATAAGCAATTAAGTCACATTCATCCTTAACATTTTAATACATAGGTAACTGACATTTTTCAGACACACAATATACACTAAAAAAGAAATATCTGTTAGATATGTAAATTTAAACTCTTATATCTATGAACGATAATTTGTGGCATAACTGGAATTTATCTAACACAAAATCACTTTTAAAAGAAAGGAAAATGGAGCTGTTGCAAGATAATTATCACACTACGATTTTATAAAATGGAGTTAAATGAAGAAGAATGCTATCAGCACATGGAAATGAAGCTCCATTTTTTTGTATCAGATAGTTTACAGTATATTGCAGAGTTTGAAACTCTTTCCTGAACGAAAAATATACGGGAAGTCCTTTGTCGGTTATAGCCCCAGAAAATGTGCCAGCCATACGGAAAATGTTAATCAGTGGTAACTGCTGTGCCTACCAAATGATACAGAAAGAATTTAACATTAGATCCGCAACTATACATAAAATTATTAATGAAGTATTGCATGTGAAAAAATTAGTCTATTATTGGGTCCCCCCATTAACAGAAATCAAAAATCACAGCATGTTAGAATCAGTAAAGAAATTATAAAATTACTTAATGATCGTGGACCCTGCACTATTTCTAAAATTATAACTGGTGATGAAACATTCATGCTATTTTTTGATGCTCCAACATATCAAGAAAGCAAAGTATGGGTTTTTGAAAATGACTCCCAGTAATAGTGAAAAGACAACAAGTAATTAAAAAAGTAACATATGCTGTTTTTTCAGAAGTACAGGACTAGCCAAAGCCATAAAGTTAAAGAAAGAGAACACAGTTAAAGCTAACTAATATACTGTTAAGTGTCTTCCAGATATTCTTCAAAAAGTGAATGTAAAGGTATTCATGCTTAAACTTGATATACATCTTCTTTTTCACCAAGACTGACAGCTGAAGTTCTTGATGGGAGAAACACAAGTTATAGTACACCCATCTTATATCTATCCTTGACCTTACTATGTGTGACCTTTCATATTTTTCTACAAAAACAAAATTTTTTTAAACAAAATTTATGTGCCCGCCATTTTCATTCTGCAGATGAAACTGGCAAAGCTATATGGATGGTTTGAAGAATTTAATGTTTGGAAAATTCACCTAAAAAAGTGCACCAATGTACGAGGAAACAACTTTTATCACAGCAAAGATTTAGCAAGTTTTAACTTGTACTATTTAGCTGCATCTCAAAAATTTCAAAGTGCCCCCAGTATACTGCATTTGGCTACAGCCTCACGGGTGGTATTTCACTAGCTATATTGACTGCCCCGAAATGAAAACATCCCAAAGACCTAACTAATTATATGTATTCTTAAATGATGCAAGTTTAAGAATTTTCTACCAGTACAGTTATATTGTTACTCATTCTCAGTTTCTATAGTCCTCCTAAACATTTCTGGATGAATTTTCACCAACAGCAGCAAATAACATTTGGCAGTTTTTTAATAGAGAAAATTTATTCACTTCCTGTCATGGGTTCTTAAGGGCTCATATGAGGAAACTTCAGAATTCTAAAGAAATCAGATAATATTTCAAACTTTTGACTGAAAATTTCAAGCATCTGAGGACAAAATATGCAGCGTGCTAGATAATTTCTAAGAATGATTTTATATACCTGACGCCAACCTGGAGAATCATTATTTATTGTATTTTGCTTTCATCACTGCATGTTTATCAACACATGACAACTCATGTAGCAATGCCTAAACAAATTTTTTATACTAGTAACTCAATAACAAAGAATATGGTAACCTATTATGTTTACATTATGCTTGGCAATGATTACAGATTTCAGTTTAATGTGCTAAGAAATTATGGCAGCAAAAATTTAACAATTTCTTTACATACGCTAAAAATAAATTTTGTTAATAAATTTTGTTGTTTTTTGGCCTTATAGGCCAAAAGATTACATTTAGTGCTATTTAAATTAAGAATAACTGACTTGTTATTCAATAACTGTTATTGAAAGAGAAAAAATTTCCATTGACAAGTCAGTAGGAATTCTAGACACAGTAATTACAGAACTTCAACAATGGAACTTTGTAACTGAAAAAAGAAATTATGTCCATCCATAGAATCAGAGAGACAGTATTAGCACAAAAAACGAAGCAACTTAAACAACTTTGAAAGAAATGTTTTATAAAGTAAACAAATAAATATTACGATTCCCCCCCCTAAATTTTGATACCTTTAGATCACAAATGCTTCATTGTTTCATAAATCACAATTTCATATTTTTAATTTTATTATTTCTCCATGCCATCTCACTAGATTTAAACTGATGATCTAATATCCAGAAAAATCCCAAATTAGAATTGCAGAAGTCCCAACGAGTCCGGATCTCGGATTTTGTACTGTATATGGAGAAAGTGTTGTTCCTGATAACACAATTCAAAAGTAGTTTGGGAAGTCTAAGTGTAGAAATTTCAGATTTGAAGATAATACCTGTTCTGGACTACCATCCTCTGCAAACAAGGCTCCATTAAAAGAAGCTAGCACTAAAAATTCACATTAAACAATTAAAAAAACTGTCAGACAGAGTTCCAAAAAACACACTACCCAATCACTTAAAAAAGACTAGGCATGACTACAATGAAAGGGTACCCTCTATTTTAACAGAAAAGAATGCGCTCAGTCGAGTTTCAGCATGTGATTCTTTGCTGAAAAGAAATAAAGGAGCTTCTCTTCTAATATGGCTCATTATTAAAGATGAGAGGTGCATACTATACAATAATGTTGATGAAAACAGCATGGGTAAGCCAAAAGAACCTCCTAAGTAACATCGAAAGAGGGCTGCATCCCAAAAAAGTAATGTTTTATGATGGAACTACAAAGGAATTGTATACTATAAATAGTTGAAACCAAATCAGACAATAAATTCAGAAAGACACTGTTCTGAAATGGCAGCTGTAAAAACAGAAATTGAAGCAAAGTGCCCAGCACTAATAAGTTGTTGAGATGCCTTTCATGAATTCTTGGCCCTACATTTGGATGAATGAGTCAAAGACTGACAGAGTAAAGCTGGGATGTTTTGTGTCACTCTTCCATATTCATCATAGATTGCTCCCTCGGATTTTCATCTCTTCAAGTCATTTCAAAATTATCTGAATGGCTTGGAGTTCACTTACTTAGAGAGTATCAAACAGCACCTTCGTAATTTCTTTACGAAAAACCTAATTTTTAGAGGGAATTTTTCAGGTGCTGGAGAGATAGCAAAAAGTCACAAAACAAAACAGTGCTTAGGTGATTCAATGAAAGTTTATGTTTATACTTCATTTGTATTTATCATTAAAAAAATGTAGAACTTTCTGGATGACCCAATAAAGTAGTTTTACAGTAATTTAATAAAATGTTCCATTCATTAATTGAATAATTAGACACGAAAATTTGCATTGACAAGGAAAGCTAATGGACTTCCTCATGACAAGCACTAGAAGTGACCAAGTATGAGAACAAAACAACAGTTGTGAAGTTGATCATTTTGCAATCCCCTAGATAAGATGTATGGAGTACATGATCACAATATCTGCAACCACAGACCGGCAAGCTTAATTTGTCTGGGAGGTTTTGGCCATTTTACCATTAGTAGAGACTATGTATACCTCATAAAGTACAAGAGGTCACTTACATCTCTCCACAGTATGGTAATGAAGAGGAATAAACAGACTGTGAGTGAAGTTGAAACAAGTATGCAATGATGGCACTACAAAGAGCATTACATGTCACACAGAATACAGTTTATGACAAGATAAAAAAAAAAAAAAAAAGCATTTGAGATAGTTAAAGAAATATGTTGACTGAGATTTGACTGATTTCAAACCGGGATAACAGTTTCTCTTTCTTCATTTCTTCCAGTAGTGAACTGTGTATCCCATGTTAAGCATCTTCTGAAACATAACATATATGTGTGTGTGTGTGTGTGTGAATGTGTGTTACATTGTGCTCCACTACATTCTCTTCTTAAAAGATGTGACAACACTCTATATTTCAGTGCTGTCTTTATATTTTCAAGCAAATGTTGCTGAGGATTTTTGTTGTTCTGTAATGGCAAAAATTTAATGCACAAAACTCTTGTAAACATATATTCAAATTGCCGTATTTGTTGGGTGCATTTGCAACAAAACATGAGGATTGCAAGTCTAATTGCACTGAGGCTAATTGCATAATATACTATTTATTCCACAATACTAATTATTAGCAGTTGAATACGTCGATGCTCAGTATCCCTACTCAAACGAATATCGCTGCTAAATAACACAAACAGCACCTTTCAAGAATGCTGTTATCATACACAAACCTTATAATCTACAGATAACTACTGGTGCACCTGGCACTGTAAACACCTCTTTCTGGAAATTAAGGATAACTGTCACACTGTAACCATCTGTTTTGTTCACAGGCTTAATTCCTCCTGAAACAACCTCATTTAAAAAATCCTTAAAACGAGCATGAAATATAAAAATCTCATATAAGCTGAAGTAATTCAGAATATTCACGATACATGCATAGCATACACTATGTTCAAACAATTTCATTACCAAGACAAATCTATAATTTTATAAATTTATATTCATGTTTCTTATGTCATTGCACAAAATCACTATCTTTTGGTTTCTCAATATTTTAAACAATAATGGCTTAAGTTTAGCTAGCTTTTTGGGAGGTTCAAGTTTTGAAATTTTTGCATTCATATTTTTCTTTGCTAGCAATTGTAGTACAATCAGAAAAAAAAAAAAAAAAAACATTTTGCTTTAAATAATGGCTTTGAATTTAATCCTCATAGCAGTGGTTCTCAACTTTTTGACTAACGCATACCAACTAAACAAAAATTCAAAATCTTTAGTACCACTAATACAAAGTACTACCACCACCACCACTCTTGAACAAAGCTCAGATCGCATAAATTTACGAGTGCTAGAGAAAACAACTGAATCAGGATATTGGGGTTTAAATTTTTGAATTTAAAAGTTACAATTACTTTGCTTCTTTGCGTACTACCACTGGTTGAGAAACCCTGCATTAGAGTATTAAATTAAACTAAAATATGCATTATTGTAGAAGTTAAACAACAAGAATCAGCGTAATGTTTAGAATAGCATAAGTCCTGCAAACTTTACAAACACTGCACTGGTTCTTGTTAACTTCTCCAATAATCATTATTCTGTGTGTTATTTTAACCTAAATTCAAGTATGCATAATAATAATGTGCTGGAAATGAACTCCTAGCAAGAAGATGGGAGTTCATGGAATATTAAGAATTTTGGTAACCAGTTCAGCTATTCAAAATTACTTCCAAAACCCTTACCAATCCAGCCTCAAGAGGGATTTTTTTACTCAAAAATTTCATATGTATTTTTGTTTAATGAGACTAAATAATATTTCACAGTCTACTAGAATCTAGGCTTCCAGTGTTCAAGGGTGTTCCACAGTCTGTCATAATACCATGCATTTAATTAAATTCAATGTAAACATTGGATCCATACAAACAAGTTAAAATAGATTCAAGAAGTTCTGCCAATGCAAAGAAGGTGCTTCAGTTTTTCACCTTCTCTCAGCTTGAATATTTCAGCTAAAGTGCAGACTTAAAAGCAGAATATTTCAGCTAAAGTTGCTTCTATTTATGTAAATAAGGAAAGAACCTAAAAGTTTTAAATGTATACATTCTTTAAGTGATACATTTGTTCTAAAACAAAATTTAACACAAGACTACATTTCACAAATAAAAAAACTGAGCATTTTAACAAGCAAAAAAATCGGAATTTCAGCTATATCTGGACCACAATCACCCCCGCCGAAAGTTTTGTGCAGATTGTTACTGAAAAATCCAACAGCTTTCCTTGCAAGAGAAAATTTTAGGCTCCACTGCATCAGTTATATTTTAGGTTAAAAAAATAATATCTGTAGAAAATTTAGTCATGCATATATGTAAAAATATGCAAAAAAAAGATAATACATATATTAAATATGTGTATTTTATAACAGCTTTTAAATTAATAAAATCATAAATACTTTTCTTGTGTTAAGCTAAAAGTTTCAAGTTCCTTCCTCCACAAGATGTCTTGCTCTGTTTTGTTGAAAAATAATAATAAAAGTGTCCTGCAAATATGAAAGAAAACCTGAAGGAGTAATAAAAGGCAAAATATGTACAGCAAAGATTAGGTATCAAGAGATAAAAGTACACAGTTACATAACTGTAAATAAACATTTGTCTCAGTCTATTAAATAATAAATTTCAAACATTTGTCTCAGTCTCTTAAATAATAAATTTCATAATTTTTAAAACTTAGTAAGAGAAGATTTTAACATAGATAGCTGCTTGCAGCAGTGCATCTAAAAAACTATAGTTATCATAACTAACACATTTTAATCCTTTAATAATTATGAATTTATGCATGTGTTTGCACACTGTCATTAAACATGTGCTACGGGCGAGATTATGCTCAGTGTTAATGATGGTCTCATGCCTTGAGATAAAAAACAATAAAAATGTAATTTTACACTATGCATCACTGAAATGCTTTTATAAAGCTCTTCCTTAATCCTTCTCCATTCTGTATATGCAATCATAAGTATGTTTTTATTGCACATTATTTAACAAAATTATATATATATTTTTGAGATGTTCTATAAATAGCAGTTTTCGGGGAGATATGATCTTTCTTTATTTTATTGGTAATACAGTTTAATATCAATGTCCATGTATAAATACAATGAAATAAATGGTTTCTTAATAGCTTAGTTTTCAAATTATCTAAGATACACATAATAAATTCTGAATTAAAACTTAATGAGCTCATATAACACAATGCTGTAAGGCAGCAAGAGTTCAAAATGACATTTAAAAAAACCCTAATATTCTGAATGGATATACACAAGGCAAGTCAAAATGAATGCCTACATTTCATATGTGTACTATGAAAAACATAATAAATACAGGTAATCGTCATATAACATGGTAGATAGGTTCCTAGAAAATGTTGTGTTGTGTGAAACCATGTTGTATGAAACCCAGATCCAGTATAAAGAGGGAGGTTATATTCCGAAAACTTATTAAAAACAAATTTTTTTAATTATACATAAAAAACTTAATTTTTATTAAAAATATACATGTATGCACAACGCAAAACAAAAAATATTACATATTTTAATTTAACACAACTTTAGTTAAATAAATTTCTCCGTTGTCACTGCTCAATATAATCAACAGAGAACCTCCTTTTTTTTTTTTTTTTTTTTTTTTTTTGTTTGTGTGTGTGTGTGTGTGTGTGTGTGTGTGTGTGTAATGAGATCACTTTCAGAAATTGTTTCTTCATTTAAAATTCTGGCATTTTCTTCCCTCTTTAAAAAAATCTGTAATTTTACTTTGCTTACTAGTTCTTACCGGGTCATTTTAAATTTCTCGATATAGACCTAGATAGTTTTGCAGCTCCCTTTTGAATTTTTGGCTTATTTCAGTGGAAAGATCTGCACTCAAGAAAAATAACTTGAGATTTTCAGCTAAGCGTAGGCCTTTTTTTTTTTTTTTTTTTTTTTTTTTTTTAATTTCTTTAATGTTAAATTATTAATTTCACAATCATCATCAGTGGTAGGGTCCTCAGAATAGATTTGATTTACAGCTTCACATGCCATTTCTATCAAATCTTCGTCAATTTCTTCTTTCGCTAATAAATCTTGAACGTCGTGAATAGCCATGTTCACAAAACCTTCACCTCCGATTGATTTAGTAAGTTCTAATATGCCACCAATTTCATTTTCTAATGATTCACGCATGTTTCCTATTTCAACTGAAGAAGGCCATATCTTCTTCTATGATCCAATGGTTGGTTGGAGTAACGAAGTAGTGTTAGATGGTAGGAACAGCATTTTGGCATTGGAATGATTCAAATCTTGTGGGTGACATAGAGCATTATCTAATAGTAATAAGTGCCTTGAAGCTCAAATAACGTTCAGCGTCTCAGACAAAACAATTTAAAAACCAATCTTTAAATATATTCCCAGCTACCCAAGCTCTTGGATTTGCTTTCCAATATAACAGGTAAGGAGTTTTTATTTATGCTTTTAAGTACATGATAAAACTGTAAACTAACAAGGGTTTTGTCATAAGGTCCACAGTCCTACTGCACAAAAGTAGCGTTAAGACAATTTTTAGACACCTTAAATCAGGACGAAGTTTTTTCTTTTTTCGATATAAAGATTCTACTGGGCATTTTTTTTCCACCAAAGCCCAATTTTGTTGGCATCGAAAGCTTGAACTGCTGTGTATCCTTGTTCTATAATATTTTGTAATTTTTCAGGAAATGTCCTAGCAGCTTCATAATCAGCCGATGCAGATTCTCCTTGAATTTTTATGCTATGAACTGAAAAACGTTTTTTGAAATTTTCCAACCAACCTTTACTTACCAGAAAATCTGGGTTGACAGAGGGTTCTCCATGTTCTTTGAGGTGCTTGAAAATTTTCAGTGCTTTTTGTTTAATGATATTACCATCCAACAAAATTATTTTTTGGCAGCTATCGTCAATTCAAATGCTGAGTGCCTTTTCCATCTTCTGAATTATTGGTGCCCCCAGGGGCAAACTGCACGTTTTATGGATGTCGAAAATCTTGCAGCAACTGCATTTCTTATTTCTTTTTCATTTTTTTAATAGTCTGGGCTGTTTCTTCATTCCAATTAAAACTTTTTCCAATGAGAGGTGTCTTTTCTCCTTTTAAAAGACGGTCCACGATTTGTATCTGTACTTCTAAAGAAATGAATTTCCTCTTAAACGTTGCTTTTTATCTTTATTGGACATGTTTACTAAAACTTAATGTCTTAAAGACGAAAAAGTTAATCTTTAACAGACCGTGGCTTGATGCAGACTGCTGACCAGCAGAGTGAGACACTTTTGTTTTCAGGCCAAGGAGACAAGCATTCAAATTTTGGAAGCCAAATGTGCAGGTTGTGCATTTTACAGCACTTATTGTGACTTCATGATGTTCGCCTTCTGCGATAGTGAGGTTTCTTCATATTTATCTGGGGAAATTTGTTCATACTGGTCATCTGAGGAAATTGTATCGTTTGCAGTTGCTGCAACATCTGAAACCTGAAGATCTGCCACATCGATTAGCTTTCTGCAAGACACTTCTGACTCACATGGAGGATGACAAATTTTCAAAAATGTTAGTATTCAGTTATGAATTAACTTTTCACATTTCTGGGTTAATAAATAAGCATAATGTGAGTGTAAGAAATTTTGTCTGAAAATCTAATTTAATTGCCTATAGAGGGCATACATGCTTCATGATGCATGTTTTTGTGTTTGGGATCTGGCAAGGCAAGTAAGAAAATGCATGTTGGAACAGAATAAACTTTAAAGCTTGAAACCTTATATGTATATTCTTTTCCTTTTGATTATGCTCTATTTTGAATTTAAAATAGTATTTCTTGAACCATGATCACATGAAATCTTTAGATTTTATCATTTATAATATAACTCTGACACCCAATAGTTGCGCATGAACATTCTTTTTGAGATTTCAAAATGCATCATAGAAGTGGCCACTAACCCTAAATGATGACTCATGTGCAATGTTGAAAAGTTATTCCTTTGTAATGAACGGGACAGGACGATTTACATAAAGAAGCATACAGATTCAGAATGTTTATGACTGCTTGCTCTTCGAATATGAGTTAATAAATTAGGATTAAATCATTAAAGACTGCAACAGGTAAGCGAATAAAATGATTTTTCTTGTTATTATGGCAGAAGATATCGTTAAATTAAAAGCTGCTAGAAAAACTATGAAACAAGCTATTTCTAAAATAATAAATGTTTTAGAACCTGATATTAAAAAAGACACATCGGATAAAAATATCGTACAGGAAAATTTGTCTTTACTTACTTTTAAACAATCTGAGTTAAAAGAAATTATTGAAAAAATACTTGACTGTTTTAAAAATGAAAAGTCCAAACTAGAAAAGGAATGTAATATACATAAATTTATGCTTTCTTAGGGCTAAAAAGAAAATTTAAATTCTCAGATTATAAACACTGAAAACCAATCCACTGGTGATCCACTGGCCATTAAGATCGAACAAACCTAACATTTGCATACTTGCCAACCTATGACACTCAAAAATTAGGAGATCTTTTTTAAGAAATCAGGAGATTTTTCACAATGTTAAAAAGACTTTTTAAATGATAAAAATATAGTTTTTAATAATGAATTAACTTTAAATAGTAACTAATTCTTAAATGCAAGCAACACAAAAATACCTTGCATATAAAAAACATATTTATTACTTGCATCGTTTAAGAAAACAAAACAAAAACAAACAAAAAAAAGACTCTTTAATCAGTTTTCGTACAAATGTTATAAACAGTGGCAGATTTTGCTTTCTTTAAGAAAGAAACTTCATAATTTTGTTCACAGCAATTGCCACGTAGGCCTGCTTTCGCTAATAAAAGTTTTTCTAATGTGTCATCACTAATATTAGATCTAAATTTAGTCCTCGGTTTCGCAACAACACTGAAAATCCTCTCAAACTCTGCATTACTACGGGAAACTGTCAAGATGGCCAACATAATTCTAGACAGTTCACTATATTTTAAAATTCCATCAGCACTTTTCAGTTTTCCAATTAAACTCCACTGGGTGTCAATCCTAGTTGATTTTATAACTTCATCCAAGTTTTCTAATTGTAAACTGCTGTTATGCAGCTGTTGGAACTGTTTCAATTTTTCCTTCCTTTTAGAACTCCTTTCAAGATAATAATAAATATCAACAATGTGTTCATCCACATTTATTGGTAAAGAAGCTGCCCCTTTTTCAGCTGCTAAATTTAAGAGGTGACAGGTGCACCTCATAATCTGTAAATTTCAATTTTCCTTTCTTAAGATGCCTGCAACACCAGCCTTAAAGCCTAGCAATACTGGTGCATTATCGGCACCAAGTACTAAGCAATTATCCAGAGGGACTGCATTTTCTTTTAAAGTTTTAATAATTAGCTGTGCTATATTAAAGCCAGTCAAATGTCCTTCTAAAGTGGGACAGAAAGTAAACTGCACTCAATTCCTGAAGACTCTGGATTAAAAAAAGAAATAACAATTGGATACAG